CGTGTATACTGCGTCACTATACGATCAGTTTTGCTTTACGGTTGTGAAACCTTGAATTTTCGGGTAGAATACATCCGTCGCCTAGCGGCTTTCGACAATCGATGCTTACGTAGTCTGGCCCAAGTGAGATGAAGTGAGCGGGTTAGTAACTTAGAAGTCGTCGGATGTTTGGGAATGCATCGAACAAGAGCTCGCTATCGCATCGAATCCAGCTCGATAGGCTCCGCTGGTTACGACACGTTTTGCATACGTTTGACGGTCGCTGTTGCAGACTGGAGAAAGCCACGTGGAGGTCAGCAGATGACGTGGAGACGAGGTATGAAGAAATGCACAGAGCGATTAGGTAGAGTAGGTGTTTCTCGTCTTCCGGGCTAGGGTCTGAAAGACTCCGTAACCGCATGGCTGGAGGCACTGAAGGTCATGGCCGCGAACCAACAATGGCGATTATCCTGTCAATTCTTATCAGACCAGAATGCTTGAAATAGTATGCACAGTTGAAGTGTGTACTCTGTGTTGACCATAGGGATTCGCTTTCGTCTTCCGTCCCTAAAAGTAAGTCCAATCACTATCCTCCTTAAACATTCTCACTTACCTTGTATGCAGTATGAGTTTGGCAGCGATCAGTGAAGTTCGCTTCACTGTATCATGCTGTACAGAGTTGGAGAAGCCTGTCATGCAGTGTGATTTCTCATGCTGTTTGTTGCCTGACGTTTTTGGTCGAGAGTTTGCGCTCTTATGTCATATGCATTAGGTTTTATTTTTTAGTTGTTTCGTAATGTTACACACCAGTTTTGGTTTTGATTTCTGATATTTTTTCAGCCAAAGGTCCCCTTACCTTAAACACATTACCTTGTAATTTCCAGTCCTGATGTTTAGCAGATGCTAAACTTTCACAATTCCGAAGAGACATGCTTTTAAATTTTTCCGAGGACCAACAGTTAACTGCATAACCAATGCATCGTTCGAATCCGCGCCTCGTTTTTGTTTCACAAAACGCGATTGCCTACCTGTTGTTACTTTACGTATGCTGTTCTCATCAGTCGCAGGCTGATTTTCAAAGCGACACTGATAAGTCCGGAGTTGAATCCCAAGGGAATCTTCGTCACTTTCTGGACCTCCTTAGATTTCCCCTGCCATCCAATTTTCGCAATGATTCACTTGGTCGGGTAAGGGAAATGTTCGACTTTGCCTACAAGAGCTACATAAACTACGCATTTCCCTTCGATGAGCTGAACCCCATTAACTGTACCGGCCGTGGTTATGATCATGAAAGACCAGACAATATCAATGTAAATGATGCTTTGGGAGATTATCATTTGACTCTTATCGATACGTTGGACACCTTAGCGGTTTGTGTACTGGTTGCAGCTGCACTAACGCTCAACAGGTTATGGGGAAATCGGAGGATTTTGTGCACGCGGTCGAATTGCTGCTAAATAATTTATCATTTGATCGAAATAACAGGGTACAGCTTTTCGAGGCTACAATAAGGTAAGTCTCGCACTATTTTACAGTAACCGTGTGATAGGGTGATGGGTGGACTTTTGTCAGCTCATATGTTAATTACCGATCCTGCTCGTCCCTTTGGAGATCTTCGTCCAAAGAACTACGATAACGAACTTCTGGCTCATGCACATGATCTGGCTAATCGCATGCTAGATTCTTTTGAGGTAAGCAGTTTGTCCATTTGAATGCCAACTGATCCCACGCCAGGTTTCACAAGTATTTCTGTTTGCGTCCATCATAATAAGAGAACTCCTTTAAGGGCTATTCTGCAGCCAAGATATTATAATAGCAATCCACTAAGTCTGACTTTTATTACACACAACATGGTTGAAAAATAGTGCGATGATTTACTTTTTGAATTAAATTTAATTGTGATAAATAATTTAGTGTTAGTTTATCACGCTAGTTGATGCTCTTTAATGTCGTTTATAATTTTCAATTCACACGAGGAATATACCGTTTCTGGAGTTATAACTTTCCAGATTATCTATCTGTCTAATTCTTGCATGCGTGTGCTATGGTTTCCTCGAACCTGATTGCTGGTTTGTCTTGAAAGACGGGCAATACATTTCTATCCCATAAGTCTTCAATAGAGATGATGGGGATAGTGAAGGGAATGCAATTATTTTAACCTTATCCGTTAATTTAGGAAATCAAGGAGTAGCTCTTATGGATGTACAAATTCCATAAAAACAATCAATAATCTTCAACTTCAATTTTTATATTGCACACTTTTAATACACATTTTTATTAGCCATAATTTCTCCCTGCTATATGTTCATACACACCTGTTTCACCATAATCCTTAGTTTCAGAAGCATTGCATGAGATATGTCTATCTTTGCCTTGGCAGGAAATGTGTTCAAGATCAAAGTCGAGTGACAACTGCACTACGGTCACGAATGATGTTGGTTTGGGTTAGGGAGGGGTACAGAAATATGAAATGAAAGTGGGGAAGCAGAGAACAGGGAGGATAAATGAAAGAATAAATTTTCCTATTGGTGGCTCCACCATACACTTAATATTTTTCCTGTTATGCGGACCCAAATCGACCACATCATCAGTTATCGCTGGAGTGGGTCGACTCAAGACTGCCGTTCTTACTGGTCAACACCTGTAGATACAGACCACGCCTTAATACCAGACAAATTCTCCTTACACCTGGCAAAAAACAGCAAAAACGCCACCGACAACGGATACCCACGATACAGTGTCAGTAATTGTTACAAATGGGCCTTCGGAGTGGAACTCATCAGTCGCCTCTCAGTTCAACCACCAACTGACTTTACTTTAGAACTTCCTGTCTTTCTTCTTTTCCTCATCCAAATGGGTAGCAAAAATACAGCAACCAAAACCGCCACACGAAGGTGCATGGTTAATCGTTGTACGGACTGAACTGAAATGAACCAGCTGAAAAACTCAATAAACATTGGAAGCAAATCAAATATCGATAAAAGCAACCTCATACCCAGGCGCAGGCCCAAAACATGAACGATAGATCTCACCGACCTCGGCTTCCCTGCTAGACACCCACAGAACCCTTTCTCCTGATGCCACATATGACAGCCAGCTAATCAAGAGTCTGTGGAATGATCGCGAGAAGTGGTGGATAGGAAAATGTAGAGGGATAGAGAAGGCTGCGGCTATTGGTAATAGTCGCAATCTTTTCCGTCTAATTAGGAATACGGGACCCAAGAAAACAGAGGTAAGTGAGGTATTTAAAGAATCCGATGGCAAACTGTTTCACGACCAGCAACGCCGTTTTGATCGAGGCTCAGTTCATCTGGCCCCCATTGATATCTGACCTATCACTCCCCACCTTGACTGGGAAAATACTCCCAGCTAATGCCAGTCCTCCATCTGAATTGGAGGTTTCCCGGGAAATAAGTTATCTCTAAAGGCATAAGGCCTATGGCCCAGATGGGCTGTTCCCACCGACTTTTAAGGATAGAGGTTCACCCTCGGTTTTGGAGTTAACGAAACTCCTGGGCTCAGTGTGGAAGAGGAAAGAGGTCCCAAATGAATAGTGTAAATTGGTTATCCTACCGATTTACAAGAAAGATGACAAATCCTCCTGTAAGAATCACACAGGAATTAGCTTAACCAACATAGCCTCTAAACTTCTCGCCGGGATCATACTCCGTCGATTGTCTGCCGCACGTGAACAGTGCACGCGTGAGAACCAGACTGGTTTTAGACCCGACTGAGGTTGTATCGACCACATCTTCACTCTCCGCCAAGTTCTGGAGCATCGACATTCTTTTCGTAGACCCATCATCTCTATCTGAAAGCGGCTTTCGACTCTGTCCACCGCCGTAAACTCTGGTGCTGCTTTTCCCTGAAGGGTGTGCCGGAGAAGTTAATTTCAACATTACGATCGCTTTATACTAATATCCGAAGTCGAGTCCGGGCTTACGGCACTTTCTCGCCCGAGTTCACCACGCAAAGTGGTGTTCGTCAGGGTTGCCCTCTTTCTCCTTTTCTATTTAACTTTGTTATAGATCGGAAAGTGGTGTTCGTCAGGGTTGCCCTCTTCCTCCTTTTCTATTTAACTTTGTTATAGATCTGATTATGGAAACAGCCCTATCCTCGTCAGAGGAATAGCGGCATCGATTTAATTCAAGGTGGCAGATTGTCTGATATAGCGTATGCAGACGACCTTGTGCTACTTAGTGAAGATCTAGGTAAATTGCAAGCATTTCTGGACAGCTTGAATGCCAGTGTAGCTATGTTCGGTATCAAGTCAAGTCAAGTATTCGTTTTGCGCCTTCAAAGTGTAAAGTGTTACTACAAGATTGGGTTGGTCCAGCACCCAGTCTCATCCTCACAGGGGAAGTAATAGAGCAGGTGGATAAGTTTTGTTATTTGGGCAGATACATCCCACCTGATGGACACATCACGGATGAAGTGTCAGCTCGCATGCAGAAGGCTCGTTTGGCATTTGCCAACTTAAGACATCGGTGGCGCCGTTGCGACATCCGGCTGTCTGTGAAGGGTCGAGTGTATGCCGCGTCAGTTCGGCCAGTTCAGCTATACGGTGCAGAAACTTGACCATTACTGGACAAAAATAGATGAAAATTAAATCAAAATAAATAGATGAAAATAGATTGTTGGTGTTCTAACACCGCTATCTACGTCGCATTCCACGAGTCTGGTGGGGTGACCGGACGAGCAATGCTGAAGTTAGGCGTACAGTTTTAGCTAATCGCGGTCGCACACTGAATCAGTTGGTCGACCTCCGTAAATTACACTTTTTGGTGCATATGTTACGCACG